AGGGGCAGTTCGCAAAATTTTCATTATCAAAAACGTCGTAGTATATATATGTATCTACATAATCAAACTGAATATCTTTTAGAAGGTTTAATAAAAAACGTACAGTAATTTTCTAACAGCTTCCAAAAAACACAACGAACTTTAGAAGTTTACGTCAACTAAGTAAATAGTTTTAAATAGTTTTAGCATTTAAATAAATTAACCTTTTTGTAGTAAAAACTTTCAGAAACGTTTATGGATACATTTCTCTAGATTTTCGACCTACGAAAAACCGGAAAGCCCCTTTTCAGATTTCGAAACATTTTGCATTGAAACGGGCATCTCGTACTATCATAATGACTAGGTATTTTGTCATAAATGTTTTGCCTAAACTGAGATACTCTTGGCATTTAATTTTATTTGCCTGTGTTGCAGAACATTGACAAATGCAGATATCACAAATACATGTTGATTTTACAATAGAATTGGTTAGAAAAAAGTGTCCCTTTGTTGGATATTTTCTATTTTTTTTTATTATTTCTTAATGCATATTGCGATATGATGCATACAATTATTTCAAAGTTCTTTTCGTGCTGAAAATTTCTAGACTATTGATCTTTTTTAATGTAAGTATTTCATTTGAACGGTTATGTGGTAGTTATTTCCCTTTTGTTGTACTCTAAAATATATACGATAAAATCTCTATTATCAAACTTAAACAAAGGTTATATTAATTTAAAAAGCCAAATTTCTCACATTGGTCTTCTAGTAGTCGCCTTACTTACGGATTTCAACTACTTTTGAAATTTTGGGAGGTAATGAGGCGCTTCGTAGCCTAGCGTAAAATATTTGGACAATAATAATTTATGTCGTTCATTTCAGTCAGGCTATATTCTCCGACAGGAAAAAGAATGCAGAGAAAACCTTCGAAAAAAATCACGAAAAATAAGGATTAATAGGGGGAATGGGGGTAATGCAAACGATCAATGATCTTGACAGTAGTAAACGAAAGTAAAAGGTTGAAAACCCCGGTCTTTCTTGATAAAGAAACATACATGCAACGAATATAGAAAATAACAGGCTGGTCACGACCATCAGTCAGTTAAAGAATCGCCAAAATTGTGTCGAAAAAAAGTGAATCTCATATATATATATTATGATATAGTAATACATGTATATGAATATTCAGGGTTGGGCTTTTGACCACTCAAAAAACCCTTTTGACCACAGAGCTTGTTTAAACCGGTTTTTTTTTTTAGCAGTGTACACCATTTAAAACAATGCTTACTATTAATGTTCGTATAACATTAGCTTTAAGGTATTTATTCTATGGGTTGATACTCTTTAAAAAAATCAGTATCTTTCAGCCTGCTTCTCTGTGACTGTGCTTTTACCAGTCAATTTCGTATATATCCTGTAAGACACTGTGGCAGTTTAGATATAGAGTTTGCAGCCTCATGTGCACTCAGACGATTGCAAATGTTTGTGTGAATCCGGGTGGAGTTAGAGAATAATATTTCGATGGATGCCTTCTAGCCACCAACAACAGATTATTAGCGCAGAGATAACTAAATACAATATTATTTTACAAATTCCATTTATGCCATAGTGCATTGAGCGTTTTAATCTCCTGCTAAGTTATAGACAAATATCAACGTTCCTGGTCATATCTTGAGAAAACGTGGCATGTCTGGCCTCGTTGATCTGTCATTCTCCCCATGTCATACAGGGAACAGAGAAATCTTTCTTTCCAAAGAATTTGATGCTTGTCACTTTGGTGTCTTTCTCCATTATTTCGAATGACTTCTTAAACTGTCCTGTTGATGATGCTGTTCAGTCACTTCGAACTGCTGTCTTGGCATTTCAAATTCAAGAGGTTTAGCCTCTAAGGCAGAAACGATGCCCGTGACATCAATATATCTCCGACTGTTTTCAAATCCACGACCCATGATGGTATGTGGTGATGTTGCTCTGAATCAGTCATTCTGCCAAAAGATTGACCATTATATCAGTATCAGTATCATAAAATGCAACTTAGTGTATCGACGTCCTCGTGATTACTTAACAGGATGAACATGAACATTGTGTTATAGGTCTAATGCAGCAGACAATATGTCCAGAAAGTGTCATTCTGTACACTTAATGGGCGGAATCCAGCGAGTAATTTGTCTGGTATTGACCATTCTGTACTTTCTGGGATGTGTTAAAGAAAATTAACTTTGTGTCAAGTGAAACCAATATAGTGTTTCACCTAGTTAAATTGTATAGGGCCTTTTTCCTGAAGGTTGGGCAAGGATCATCTTGTACTTGGTAGAATATTTTCAAAATAAATATTTTCAATCAATGTCTTTGATCTAGTCAATTTTGCCATAACACTGGATGCTTAGGTGTGATGTTTGAATTACCCTAAAAACACTGGTATGTAGTAGATTTCTCAGCTTGAAAGACGATGTTAATGTGTTAATGTAGACGTGAAACGGGTGAACTGTTGCCAGTAGCCCAATCTTTAACGATATTTCAATTTAATTATTTAAGTCTTAAATTTGACCATGTGAAGTTAAGGATGGCACTAACGAGTGGTATGATCCACTTCAGCCCGAGGTCTACAGCAGTATAATATGTTATGACTTTTCTAACTACCAATTGTATACCAAAAATTCTCATAAAGCCTTGTAAAACATCGTAGATAGTGAACTAGAATAAACGTTTTAATACTTTTTCTAAATAGATTAATGCGGAACGCATTTTCGAGATTTTGTAGTTTGAAGTGTCACCTGCTGATTATGTTCTCGTCCGGCGCGGCTTTGTTCTAAAAAGGTAGCCGATCAGTAGCTGTGACTCTCGAATCTATATTTCTTTGACTAAGTGCAGTTGTGCATCACGCCTGTACAGTCACAATGCATTTATGACAGATAGAATATTGTAATATAGTGTGGAATCGGAATGCACACTATGTCACTAAGTTGTATTCTTTTACCAAGAAAGGGTTGGAACATCACGATATTCCTTCTTAGTCTTGTCCAGCCTTCGGGATCAGAAGATGAGAAGTGAACATGCGATTACTGCAAACAGTGAAAGTGTAAGCGATATGCGATCTAATTCTATTGACGTCATGTAATAAATATCCATAGATTAGGCAGTGACTTGGTAAGTGTACATGCGTGAAAGTGTAATTGATATGCGATCCAATTCTTTTGACGTAAACAATCATGTTACATATATCAATAGGCAGTAAGACGTAAACACCATTTTTTACATATCCACGAATGATATTGCAGAATCTTCCATGAATTGGTGTTTACGAGCCAACAGACGCACCATCACGGCAATTAACATTTTACGCGTAATTCATTCCCGTGATATTAAAGACGGTGTGAAAATAGAGCAATTATATTTTAATGTGGTCCTTCTTGACTTCCTTATTATTCACGTGTTTAAGCCATTTCAGTCACATGGAAAAAGTCTTCCGTCCGTATAATGTAATACGTATACAAATACGTTTTACTACACTTCCTTTTTATTTTCTTCATTCATACTCTGGTAATTATTTGTGGTTAAGAAAGGTTAATATCTGATACCCAACGCACGTCAAACGCATGGAAAATGGAAAATTTCAATGATTTTTTTTTTCATTTTAAAAATACAGTATAGTTTTTCATGATAAAATATATTTTTGACTCTTAATTATATAACTGTGTTTTTGGTAAATTTTAAATTAAATATGTGCGATGATACATTGTTTTGAACGATTGCAAGTACATCAAGCAACATATTTGATACAAACATAGTATTGTCAGATGTTGCTAAAAAAACGTTATAATTAATAAATTTTTAAATTAATCCCAGTAGAAAGGGACGGGTCTTCGAATCATTTTTTTTTATAAGTTAATAACTTTATCCCCAGGTATAATTTCCTTATATTTCATTACGTGCACAGTTTTGCTTTGTTTTTCTCACGTAATAAGAAACAACCACGAGTGTCAGATTAGATTATGGCTTTCATTTCAAACGTCTCCATAAGTGTATATGCACAAAATACAAAAGGGAACCGTTTATATTTTGAGACCCGAAAAATACCAATTCTTTTTCTCCGATATTGTTTGAACGTTGGCCATAAACACATATTCGCCTCACCCAGTTTCTTAAGTCTATAAAAAGACCATTCATCCTTACACTAAACCTGAATGGCCCACGAAGAAATATTATATGACAGCTTACCTCAACTGGTATGAAGAAAAGGTACACGACCCAATTTTTGATTGGTTCAAAATTACAAATTTCCCACGGTCTATATAGATTAGTAGTTGTAGTTTATGCCCGTTCAACTATAATATACATTTATAGTTTTTTTTATCACGAGTGAACTAAATATATCACTGTAATATGTCAAGCCATATCGTAGCATTCCGGAGGTGTACGTTACAAATTGTAATTCACACAAGGATTAAGGAAAACTTTCGAATTAAGTTGAGAAGAGTAACGATATGACTCATTTCTTTGACAATGCATTCGTTATGTACACAGTTTAAAAAAAAGTGACATTCTCACTGTTTTTGAAGAGTGCTGAATTTTTTTTAAACAAATATCGAATTTCGAAAGATTAAAACTAATTTTTCAACTGGTGGCATTTTATCTACGATTAATTAAATAGCCTTGTGTTTCTCTGAAATTGTCAATGTTCTGAAGATTAAGCAAATAAATACCGACTTTTGCTACATTATGACCAAATTTGAAAACTTCATCGATTTCAGTTCCGTTTGCCCGCCGAGAGGGTACAAGGTTTTCGGATCATTTTGTACAATTATTATGAAATAAAATATAACGTAATCACCGAATATAATAACTGTAAAACTTAATTTTGACACGTGTTGATCATGATATTACTAAATGATTTGGAAGAGACCAAATCAGCGCCCAGTTTTGTCGTTCCTTGATGCCATGCCCTTGACGTTCGTCAGCAAATGCCGATGTCTTACCAGTAATAATGCGGACATTGCAATGTGAACAAAATGAACTAAAATACTGTAATATTGAGTTTATTCACAAATAAATAATAGATATATATAATACATCTCATGTATGTATGTTGCGCTCCTTCAATGTATTTTACAATCCAACCGTTAAATATCATCCATCCGTCTCACTCACATTTTTAAACATTCTGTTGACTTTGGTCTAAAATAAAACATAATTATCTCCAGTTAAAGAAATAAGACAAAATGATATCGAATCAAAATTATTTTCGACATTTATATCATGCTGTTGTTTAAATCATCACGATTTATGAAAGCCCAATTCTCGTTTTTACGTCATTGGTAAAAAAAAACCCCGTTACCTAGAACCCCCTGTAGCGAAGCAATTGTTGTCCTGAAATGGGATTCTTATTCTACGAAATAGATGGATAAAGCCAATTGGCTAGTTGATGCGTAAATATGACCTAATTACAATATCAAGCGATTCGCTATTGCTGGATCACAATTCAATATTTGCTAGTACTTCCATAATGATAAAATATTTGATATACAAAGCTTTACTCAATTGGATGCTTATAACATTTGTGGTAGTAAAAGTACCGCGCTTAAAATATTTAAAAGAAACGGGAATACACTTACCAACGTTATTTCCTCCAAGCCAATTCGCAGCTCCTAACCCGTATAAAGATCCAATACCGGCACCTAATAATGGGTTATAAGAACCGTATGAGTTAAAACCAAGACCATGTAAACCAAAACCATTTAAACCACCTAGTCCAAATTTACTTAATCCGCCATAAAACGGACTTATTCCACCAATATGTGGACTAATTCCACCAAAATATGGATTAATCCCACCAAAAAACGGACTGAATGTACCAAGTCCTACAGGGTATCCAATAAACGGGTTCAAACCGATTCCTCCACCATACAAACCAGCCTGTGAGGCGGCAACAAGACAAGCTAGAGCAATAACTACCACGTTTATCATCTGAAATGAATTAAATGCTTAACAGAAAGTCTATCATCGATTCAACTATTTTCAAGATCAAACCCCAATTACGTTTTTGAATTTCAATTAATTACTTTCTCGACCTATGTTTCGTACGTTTGAATTAATTTTCCCGATTTGAATTTTCAAAGCATTTGCTTATGTCCTTAAATAAGGACCTTAAATATATACACATAACATACATGGTTGTAACACGTACATCAAGTTTAGATTTTTAAATTGAATAAGATGAATAACATACCTTGACAGCTTAGATCGTAGTTCAATTCCTATCGTTATCGACCTTATCGTTTCGCCAGCCTTTTATAGTTACGTAAAGTGTCATCACATTCCTACAATATTATCATACAATCTATAATTAAGCATAATTAATCCTTAGTCATGGTATATTTTTTCAATTAAAATCAATTAAACAGTACAGGGTAAGGCTTACCTTGAGGCAATAATATTTGTAAAAGGTAACATCGTGTCAACCTGGAGTGGTCTATGAACGACTACGGAACATCGCGATTTTTCAGATATATAGGATTTGAGGTTACATACAATGTTCATCACTAATTTCAGAACATAACCAGGACAAGAAAAAATATCCAACAGTTTCAAACCGCTTATTTCAATTGTTCAAAGATATAGGTAATTGCCCCATCTTCGGCCTGTACACATGGGAGAATCAAACTGTCCCTTCCCCGAAATCTAATATGTGACTGTTGACGGAAACATATCTTTAAGAAAGACAAACCCTACTCTAAACCTCGAAGACATTGGTTAAATAATATAAATCCTTGCTGTTGTGGCCAAATAAAAACTAGCTAGCAGTCACACTACAATTTGCTTTCAAAATACAACGATGAAATGAGCCTCATTTATAATTTTAATAAAGTTGAAAATATTTGAAAACAAACAAGGCTACCGTCTTAACAGTTTTGTTGACAATAGATATGCTAATATACAATCGTAAAGGAGATACTTTTTCAAAAGCCATTGGCTACAGTGTGTACATCAGTACGGTTTAAATGCAATCTATAACTCAAATGTAAATTATGCTGCCAAATGCTGACAAATGCTGAATTAAACATCTAGTGTAAAATCCGCATCATTATTTTTGTTCTGTTCAGGATCCAAATGAAACTGTATTGCTCACATATAGTTCACAGTCGTCCAACTTTCATTTTATCTGATTCAGGTGAACTTTGGATTTCAGTTGGTCATAACTTCTTGTAAAACTTTGCTAACGCAAAGGAGGTATTAGATATTTATATTGGCTTCAGAAAAAAAATTCAAATTTTTAAAATATTTATTGACAAATTATTACAATCATGACAATTACAATGATCGGTGTCCCGTGGGGATTATAGATGCACACTGGAAAGATTTCATTCTGTGACTAGGATGCTGATACCCATCTAAAAGGGCTTCTTTTTTAATTAAATATTCATCCAGACGAATAGTCTTAAAGTTTGTTAACCTACGCTTTAAGCCTCGAAAGATTTCGAGTTATTGAAACGAATCAATCATCTTGCCCTTCAGGAGGCTGCCTGATTTTCACGTCAATAATTTTAAGTAGTCGAAAGCCCATCCATAATTAAATTCGAAATAAAATATTGCGCAAAAGTTCCAGGATATGCTTTGCCAATTATGTGGTGAAAATAAACCTATACCTGTGTAAGGCGCTCACTTGTTGGCTAAATAAACAGCGACGAAGGGAGCTGATTAGGCTCCATGTGACAGGTCGGTTACCTGAAGGAAAAACATTGGATTCATTTCAACAGGTCGTGGGCCTTCAGAGCTAAAGATATGTAAGCCGTTTCTCCAGCTCCAGCATTATATTGTACTACATTTCTGTTATCAAATACTATTACCATTTTCCAGAAATTATGTGCCCAAGATGAACAAGTAACTTTTTCTCATATCCAGCAAAAACCTAATAGATATTTTTTCTTTATTTAAATAACCGTCTGACCTGAAAATTAAATATAGGGGAATTAAGTATTACAGGAATAATCAAATAATAGTTTGAACACAAAACAAGTGTGATCAAACCTTGCTATGGTAGTTAAAATACGGGCTTTAAAGTATTATCCTGAATGGTTATATTATAAACATGTAAGTTATATGCAATATGCATATATAGATAGTAAAAGAAATCAATATTAACTCGTGTAATGTTTTGAATGTGGACTTTAGTATCAAACTACTTAATTAAAAGAAAAAGAACTTACTATTTGCGGTGTTTCCTGTGGCACCAATTGGTCCTAAACCTGCGAATCCTCCCATTGCACCATAAGGAGTCATGCCAGCCATCATTCCAAGACCGCCCATCATTCCTAGGCCACCCATACCAAATCCTCCGTACATGCCTGGGTACATTCCATACATGCCCATCATATAAGGATTCATCATACCCATTCCATACATACTTAACATAGGGTTCATCATACCACCATACATCATTGGGTTCATCAACATACCAGCTCCTAACATACCCATACCACCATAGCCTGCTGATGTAACAGCAATTAAACTAGCTAGAGCAGCAACAACAACCAGTTTCATCATCTGTAAAATGAATGAAAATATTTGAAAACATGCTTTTCTTCGATAATTTCTAGATTTTTTGAAATGGCAATTTTTGTCAGTAATGAAAACAAAACGTTTTACAAATGTAAGCTGTTCTACCTTTGAGATTTTTTTTTGAATTCTTCAATACAGCGTGAACTGAAGATGTTGAGAAACCGAGCAGGTTAAATAGTATATTACACGGAAGTCTTACATCTTGTCTTATTAAGTATTATACCTACTTATTGAGTAATATGATGACATACATAACATACAATATCAATTAAGATTTTTTTAGCTAAATAATTATTGCCTTAATGATCTCTTTGTTCATTATCAGAAAAGATGGAAATCGGATCATTAGATCTAATTCACTGGTTCCGCTTGATTTTGTGTACATATCATTTCATTGCACAGATTCCTATTAATTGTTAGTGCCAATTATGTTTGATGGCCTGACAAAATTTCATCCATCAAAGACAGACAATTTTTCTCGAAATTGATTGGCACAACTCTTCACACAAAGCTTTTGAAAGGATGGGGCTCATTATATTTATGATTTGTGCACATGTACTAAGCTTAACAAAGGCCAGATTCATTTTCGAGAAGATTACATACTTTCTCACAGATGTTCAGCATGGTAGGAATTCAACGTAATTAATTCAATATTTATTGTGTGCGGGTCTATTCGATTGTGTCTAAGAGGCGAAATTGTACTGGAGGATTCTTTGATCTCCAATTGGTACCTTAAGTGATGCAAATCGGTAGCCGGCATGGGAAAATATGTCATTAATTTTGTGAACAAAACCAGAATGATATGATCGTTACATAACATATCATTGGGAGAAGTAGGGTCAATAAAACTTTGCTTTGTATCAGTGCAATGTTGTCCAGTATAGCTCCCAAATTTTGCGACATCCCTTTCAAATATTTCGTTGTATTTATTACTTGTTTTTTTTTGTGTGAGTCCAAAAGGACTCGTGTTATGTATAATTTTACTCTAAATCTGCATGTATTTTCACCAAAACCTTGGTATCTATATATTCTTTCCATTAAAAGTTTTTAACCCTGTTAATGGTTGGAAGATGACAAGTTATTGTCTGTCTCCAGATAGGTTAGAAGGATGTCAACTAACTCATGCATACAACCTTGATCAATAAAGATTTGTAGCCTGTAGAACTCTTGAAGGTATTAGAGCTGTTTCTAGTACAAACTAAATTTTATTCATTATTACATTCTTCAATTTTTGTATACACATTTCATTGAAATGATACATCCGTACTTTTTTACAATTTGTACTTTTAAACAATTATTTGAAAATGAATATTGATTGCTACTTATGTTGTCATATTACTCAATAATTAAATCAGTATAACATTTTATAAGACGAGGTGTAACGACTTCCGTGTAATATACTATTTAAACTACTCCGTTTCACATCATCTTAAGTTCATTCTGTATCGAAGAATTCAAGTAAACCTTTCCAAGGTAATATATATTACAGCTGAAAGTTTTTTCAAATAAGACAACAAATTAGTCCTTCAAAATACTAATTTTCATATGGAAGTTGCTTTGTAGAATATGTTGAAAATTGTGCAAGGAAGGTACTTAAATTGATCATGTTTTAAATACTGCTCTATATATTTTACAGATGATGAAACTGGTTGTTGTTGCTGCTCTAGCTAGTTTAATTGCTGTTACATCAGCAGGCTATGGTGGTATGGGTATGTTAGGAGCTGGTATGTTGATGAACCCAATGATGTATGGCGGTATGATGAACCCAATGATGTATGGTGGTATGATGAACCCTATGTTAAGTATGTATGGAATGGGTATGATGAATCCTTATATGATGGGAATGTACCCAGGCATGTACGGAGGATTTGGTATGGGTGGCCTAGGGATGATGGGTGGTTTAGGAATGATGGCTGGTATGACACCTTATGGTGCCATGGGAGGATTTGGGGGTTTAGGACCAATTGGTGCTGCAGGAAACTCCGCTAATAGTAAGTTCTTGTTTTTTTCTGATGATAAATTTTTGAATGAAAATTTTCTCAATCATGTTTAACGTTGCAAAAATATTACCCAAGAACGAAATACAAGTTACTAATTTTTTTTATTCCACTAAGAGACAAATACCTTCATTGGACATTTAAATATATATATATATTTCATCTTTTTTTCCAGGTCAGACGATTGTCTAATTACTAGTTTTAATCGGTGTAAATAAAACATATTTTGTTCATATAACGGTGTATCAATATCCCCAGTTTAGTGCTTTTAGATCGAAAGCTTACGCTTGGTAACTGAAATACAGGTGAAAATAGTCTTAACTAAGCTTAATCATAATGATCATTCATGTCATGATGGATCAGAATATGTCTAAAGCTTTAGTTGGGTTGATTCTGAAATCGCTAGAATATTGCAGCCCGTCTTTAGATGGATACAAGGTGATTTTGTCTCTTTATACTGGCCAAAAGTGCCTTTCCATTACATCATCAACTCCAAGTGGCGATGAAAATCAAATTCGAATGTTAATTACAGTCCTTAGCTCTTCGCTCAATGTAATTCCCTTAATATTTCGTGGTTCCTGTTCGAGGGTTGGCTGAAAAGTCCCGCACGAAATCAAAAGTTTTCATTTCATTCTGGGAAACTGTTGAAAGGCTGACCACAAACAATGATAGCTTTATCGATTTATGAATCATTTTCGTTGTTGAACAAAACTTCTATAGCGAACGTGCGTTGGTCAAATTCGTTGGTCAGCAAAATATCTTCCATTGATAGTCTGGTCTTTTCAAGGAAGTCGAGTAACAGATTTCCTTTAGAAAATTTTGTCATTCCCAACTGGGAGAAAATGTGCTCAACCGCCTCATGATTGATGCCCATAAAACCGGTCAATCGTCGATCAGCAATCACCATGTCCATAGGGTCAAAACCAACCCCATTCGTCATACTTCCTCGGGCCTGTGGTAACACAAGTGAGAAAATTTAAGTATTCATAGCCAAATATTGTCCAATCAAAATTGGCCCTACTGTAATGGTAGCAAATTTCAGCTAATTAAAACAAATAACTCATTATGACGTTTTGTTTGCAAACGTATACAAAACGAAAGCAGCGTGTCATTACATATTTTGATGATTATGTACGGTACAGAATTGAGTGAGATTTTCGTCAAAGAATTTGAATCCGAGAGAAAAGAATGTGTTCTTATCTTTTCAAACGGGTGGCGGCAAAGCGGTGTTGTGTTTTGTTTACATGACCTCATTTCCGTTCTAGAACCGACCTGATGAGTCAGATTAAAATGCCACCAATCTCATTTCCACGCCCCCCCCCACCCCCCAAAACGAACTGTACTAGGCGTAGTTTAATACATGTAAAAACCCGCATTCATGATACGATGCACCATGCCATGCGTCCGGTTAAGTTTTTCGCGAATGGTTGCTGTTGAATGAAGGGGCACTATTTGTGTTTGATTAAGCCCTGAATGCAGGTATTTCATGGCTGTTTTACAGTCAGTTTTGATAATCCCTGATGAATTCAATGGGCTGGTTCACAAAATGGTCGGGTTCAAAGACAATATTGACACTACAAGTGCTGTTCTTATGTCTATAATTCATTAAACAATCTTACTTGTTTGTGTCATACGCGCCACCGACTACTATTATATCAACTGCCCATTCACCATAGAAAGTTGCAAAATTTGACATTACTAAGCTCATACAGTCTATGCTGCACAAGGTGGCACTTTTACCAATCGAGCGAATGCACATTGCCTATGCTACAGTTATTTTGTTGACATTATAGACGATAAACAGGATAGAGATAAACGCTACGACAATCCGCAGAGCAGAACTACTGTGCACCGGTCATTCGACCGTACACAACAGCGACATAAGACCAATAATAATGACCGTCAAGAAATTTTTACCTTTCTTGACCATATTTTAATTTAATATTTCAGTTCAGAAAGGCAAGGTCATATCGAAATAATACGTTAGGAAAATAACAGTTCCATGATAAGAACTGTCAAGCATTAGCTTAGAAGTTAAACTTTTAAGTGGTAATCAGCTAGTGAAATTGTATGAAATTGATGTGAGATATTGAATTCCGGTACGAATTCTTTTTCATCTTTGCACTTTTTGACCAACGCGTCAAAATGGGGAAACGGGGTTGAAAACAGAATATCTAGTCCCCAAGACTGGTTAGTGCTTGGGTTTTATATTATTCACTGGACTTCAGAATTTGGTCGTTAATGAACAATCATATATTGGGGAAACGGGGTTGACAAGGAAGTATCTAGATTTCAAGACCTATGACTTGTGCAAATATCTAGGTTAGCAAATAGACGGGTTTCATCACTGGCTTTATGAAGAAAAAAATTCACTGTTGTAGAAATCAAGTTTGCTTTATTTATACCAATTCATCAAACAATTTAAAAAAAATTATTAGACAACCGTCTGACCTGAAAAACAAAACGAAATTTTAAGGTATAATTTCAGTGATCATAAAATAGAAAGTCCTCGTGAATTTAGTTATCAGTTATTTCTATTTGACTGCAGTTCATTCCGTTCTGCCGACATATATTAATTATCAAAAGGAGTAGTTTTTGAGGCGACGATTAACTTTCTAAGATCAGACATATTCGCTATTTTTTTATAATGCCAGCTTTTTTTAAAGCATATTATTTGTCAATAATCACTTTAATTTTATGTAAATAAAACTTACTATTTGCGGTGTTCCCTGCAACGCCAATTGGTCCTAAACCCCCAAATCCACCTATGACACCATAAGGAGTCATACCAGCCATCATCCCCAGGCCACCCATACCAAATCCTCCGTACATGCCTGGGTACATTCCATACATGCCCATCATATAAGGATTCATCATACCCATTCCATACATACTTAACATTGGGTTCATCATACCACCATACATCATTGGGTTCATCAACATACCAGCTCCTAACATACCCATACCACCATAGCCTGCTGATGTAACAGCAATTAAACTAGCTAGAGCAGCAACAACAACGAGTTTCATCATCTGAAAAATAAAGAAATGAGTAATGAAATAAATATTTTTTATTACAAATCAGGAGATTGACGCCTGTGTAATAATTATATCCATATTACACTTATGTGAAATACGGGCTGAACCATTTTTGTTTCTATCTCGCTTTTCGCATTCTAAGCTTTAATAACACAAATGATAATGAATAACCATTTAACCATATTTAAAAACATGTTTAATCACCCATGGGCTATAATTCCTACAATCAATACCGCTTTTACCTACTTTAACGACAAAGTTACGGGTTGACCGATGTATAATAGGAAATTGCCTATGACATCATCGTATGTTTATTCTTATTTTCCCTCATTCATTCATTATACTGTTCTTATGGGCAGAATGTTAGACAGGATAATGTCCTGTTTCTTGTGCCTTATTCTGACCCATTACAATAAAAGATTTATTATTATTATTATTATTATTATCACATTCTATGGGGATTCCCAGTGAGTATTACATGAACGTGGGTCGAATCATATTAATATGACGAATTGTGTGTTTTACCTGAACAATCAACTTACAGTTGACAAAAATAGTATGTGATAAAAGGCCAACCGCACTCGTGTGTCTGTAGGTTTTCAATATTACACTCTGGGCTTGACGTAGTTATATCACAAAATTGCATGTGCCACACTCATGATATTACTGTGCCAATCCCCTCCTGCAATATTGAAACCTATAAACACACATGTTCGTTTCGACCATTGTATTGGTAATATTGAATTATGCATATCCAATACCTGTTGGAGAAGCCATTAACAGCACAACTGTTGTGCATGTCACAATGAATGATGGTTACCTTTCTCTACTCACAAAGAAGACTTTCAATTCACATTCACTTAATAATATCCTTTTTACTTCATGAAGTTAAGAAAATAAGGACCACATCTTCGATATGTTATATCATTCACACATTACCAAAGTGTTATAGTACAAACCTTTGTGTATTTTCTTGAATTCTTGTTTTCAACAGAAAGAACTGAAGAATTAGGGAGTAGCTTGAGTTTATATAGGAAAGAATGTGTAATATTCAATAGATTATGTATTTATTATGTAAATTTAATCACGTTTATCAGTCTAAGTAATAAGATGTAATATATGTATTATAAATCATATTAATTGGTTTAAATTAAAATAAACACACACTCATAATACTTTCAGTCGTTTAACAACTTGAGAATTGAAACACTGGAAACTTAAATTTGGCTTTTAACATAATTGAAACTAACCATTCGTACATCTACTTTTAGATAAAACATTAAACAAAAAAAACCAATTACAAAATCATGGTGGTGGATATCAATATTTAAAAAAAAGTAACAAATAATATATGTCTTAAATATTTTCAAAATCATTCCACCTGATGAAGTCGTCTAAAAGACGACGACGAAAGGTAGTATAATAAAATACTTTAGTCAGTGTTTAAAAGGTGTTTTGTTAATTCTTTTGTTATCCATGCAAAAAATAGAATAGGAGCCATTGGCAAGTAGTATCGTTTAAACGATAGAAAGGACTTCATTAAGCATGATTGGAATTTGAAAAATTCAAATTTATAGCAGAAAAGCGTATTTATTCCAAATTTATAGGTACAATTATCCCAAGAGTACTCTGAAGAATAACTTAAAGATTTTGTTTGATTTGAATTTTTTTTTTTAGGAAAGCGTTACATTTTTATGTAAAATCACAACGATATGAAAATATTATGCAGTGCTGGGTGACTGCAGCATTAGAAACATAGCGCTTTATTGTAAAATTCATATAATCATATAACTTTGTAATAGAAAAGTGGGTTATTATAAAAACATGACTGTAATTGCCAGTAGTAATTGAAATTTTGTCGCAACATCTCTAACAAAAATATATCGTTAGCCACATTAAACATTAATATCAAGGAAAAAACCTTGTGAATAGGAAGGTGTCACTACGACTATCCCATTTAACTTTCTTTAAATTAGGGATTCCCATCAGCTACCCATTAAATCTCTTCACGGCGTCATTTCATTCATAATTTGAAATCAGAGGATCGGATTGATCCGTGTCACAAATTACTTCCCATACTTCTATTTATTGATTTCTTAGTATTCCTCCTCTTTTCCCACCCTCATCACCAACATTGAAAAATATGCTATTTATAAATATCTAAAAGTATCCCACAACATTGCGTTTTACATCTTATGATGACAAAATCACTTCCCGACCCTTTCCATCATGACTATTGAGCAATATTTTGCTATAAAAGTGATGTTGGAGAACGTTAGAATCAAAACTTGAACAAATTGTCAAAGTGTTGAATTTTTTGCATTGATACAAATTGTCAATACATTTAACATGAAGACTCTGCTGGTAAGTACTATTTTACATTTCAGCCAAATTTAATAATACATGTTATAATCCTTGTGAGAGCAAGACTAGAAGGAAAATCGATTCAGATATTGTTAATTGAAGCTGATAGTAACATCCATTGCAAAATCAGAATTGATTGAGCATTTTCCAACAGAGGATTCAATAAATTATGGTTTTCTTTTTATTATTTGTCGAAGTAACTTACGGAAAAGTTTAATTATTATCCTTCCCAAAATCATGTATTGGTCGCAGATTATAAGTTTTGTTTGTTTTATATTCCAAAATATTAATTTTTTTTTGGGATCAAACTAGTAGAAATAGCGTTATAATTCTGTACAAGGTAGATATTGTCTTGTCTATCTCGGCTGTCCGACTTAATGTTTTAAGTATCCTTTACGATCGTAATTTAAGGAAACTGAAGGGCTGATGGCTACAGCTGAAATATTAAGTCCGTTTTTGCCAATAACAGATGCAAAAAAGGCCAAAGATATATATATTGCAGACGAAAGGGGCATTTATGAGCTCCACAGCGATACCTACAGCTTAAGTTTAGCTCTGCTAACTGGGAAAGCAAATATTTAGACAATCTTTCTTTATCCTTTTAGTATCGATAATGATAAAACTGTTCACCGATACGTTTATACGTTTGAATATTTCAGAGCGTAATTGCTGTTGTACTTGCTGCATTAACTGTTGTGAATGGAGGGTCTCAAAATTGCGTAGATCCACCACATAATATCATTAACAAGAATTACAACACAAATCTAGAAAATGTGACCACCGTTCAGATTCGATCAGAGTACATTAAAACCAGAAGATATCGGGTTGCAGGTGACACAAGTTGCAAGGCTGGTGGACGCAGATACGGTAAACACGCAGTTTGTCCAGTCTACTATGTCCTGAACACTGATGTAAACCGAATTCCTCAACGCCAATATGAACAGATATGTTCATGTTCCAGTCCACCAACCAGCGATGGTGGAGTATCCCTTGTTGAATGCAGGGCCGTTATTAAGCATTTACCTGTCCTACGAAGAACTGGTTGTGCTGGTGGTATCTACAACTTCACCCTTACGTTAGAAGCATTCCAGACCGGTTGTGAAACTGTTCAACCCAACATCCGATACGTTCCTGTCGATACCCCCAAATCACCGGAGTAATAGTACCCTGCTGTAACCGATACACCATGATTATGAATGAAAGGAATAGTTTTATTCAATGTCATATATCGGTTTTCAAATCTAAAATCAATTAGTAGATCATATTGGTCTGTTGGTGTAAACTTATTTTAAGTATATTATATATTTGTTTCAAAAAGAAATTGCTTTTTTTGCCAAATGCTTATATCCTTTGCTTTGCTGTAACCGATACACCATGATTATGAATGAAAGGAATAGTTTTATTCAATGTCATATATCGGTTTTCAAATCTAAAATCAATTAGTAGATCATATTGGTCTGTTGGTTTAAACGTTTGAGTTTATTTAAAGTATATTATATATTTGTTTCAAAAAGAAATTGCTTATATCCTTTGCTTTGTTTCATATTAAAATTTTAATATTATCTTTCTTAGAAATATGAATAATATATTTGTTTAACTCAATTAGTAGATCATTTTAGTCTGTTCCAGTTTATTTATAACCCTCTATATTTTTTTCAATTTTTCTTTCGTGAAAAATATTTCAAAATTCTTAAATTTTGCTAAATTTAATTTCTACTTCTTTTGCCTTTTCTTCCATAGTCAAATTTGAATATTATCCTCCTTACAAATAATGCATTTGTTGAAATCAATTAATAGATCATTTTGGTTTGTTGATTTATCGTTTATTTATCACCAAATGTATTTTTTTTAAATTCAAATTTTCCTTTGTAATGATATGAGAAATTTCTTAATTTTTATTAATTTAATATATATTTCCTTTGATTTGTCTTCCATATTAAATATGACTATATTCTTTCTTACAAAATAATAATTATGTATTTGTTGATTTATTGCACGATGTAACACTAATATGAAATAAAGGATCACTTATGAATTTCGGGTTACTATATTAACTAGATTATCTTCCGATTTTCCTCAATACGAATAATTACTTTTTTGACTTATTAATCCTATGTGCATAGGAAGTGGCCTACAACTGTGGGTGGGAGAGAGTCACGTTTCATATCATTTCCGTAATTCACACTGTGATGATCTGCGTTGAAATTTACCGGATTATCCGTAGCGTTATACAAAATGAAATGAATGGAGTTTTAAGTCCTACTTTTCTGCACCTTGTGGGCTAATGAAGACGGGCAACGCCATGCAGGGTGCCATGAGGGAAATTTTTCCAGGACAGCGGCATTAGCCTGCTCATTTTCAATTTACAACTGTCGAAGGATCTTTAACGTGCATAGGCGGACTCGGTTTAGTGCCAGCCCCTCTTACCTGCATCACTGACATGGGGAAACAGAGTTGAAAAATCCGAATGTATTTATCGACCTATGCCCTATGCCCTATGACCTACCCTGGACCTTCGGGTAAGCGAGCAAGTAGCGTTATTCAGCTGAGCAGAGTAGATAATTGCGATTGAAAATGTAGGGTTAAAGAGGTTGTAAGAAGGTTTTTGCTAAAATGTGTATGTGTATTGAGGACACTAAGAGCATCAAATTGCAACATTCCAATTTTCAGTCAGACGTCTGTACTTCCTGCAATTCAATCAAAATATATTTTGATGAAAAAAAATTCGCAAATATTCTTGTATTTCATAAGGCCCTTCGTGATTATTGACACTTTACCATCCCTTTAAATGGATAATAATTGGTCTTTTATTCTGAATTTTTCGAAATTACCTTCACAATATAGAGAGTTTCCTGTAATGAAAAAGTATGTAAATTGTCGTAATTAGATACGAAAATAAATTCCGCTCATACTTATAATCCATAGGACAATAAACCGAGTCCACGTGTGGCACAGGCTGTGTACTTTAAAAGATCTTGGCAAAACGTCCCTCATTGCACCCTGCATGGCGTTGCCCGTCTTCATTAGCCCACAAGGTGCAGAAAAGTAGGACGTAAAAATTGAATCATTTCATTTCATTTATATTCATAATATATCTGGTCTTACATTCCAACGGCGTCGTCATCAAACCCTTTACATGAAATATTGCTGACTAAAACATTCATTAGTGATGAGAACGTCTATTGGTTTCACAATATTGGTTTTCATTTTGCTCACATAAGTTTTGTGGTGAGCTAGTTGGCAGCACGCTTGATCTAGAATGCTGACTTGGCCTTTCGTAGGTAAGGCCATGATATCTGTAAACATCATGGAGTTGAAGCTCATGGAGACGGAATGGTCGCTGCCTTTTGTTGCTTACAAGTTTCAAATATGGTCGACGTCTGTGATGAACTCAATTGTGCATAGGGGTTGGATGCTCAAAGGTTACCTACAGGAGGTAAAAAAGGCGGTATTAGCCTAATTGTTGGCAAATGGTGTTGTAGAATGTAAAATATCTCTACTGCTACTTCATATCCATCTGACCAAAGCCTATGTGTTCCCTGTGCTTTTTCAGTGGGGATATAATATTTAAGTATGCATAAAGTGTTATGCCTGGATTGTGGTGGCAAGTGGTACCTATGTGTTCAAATCTACAAATGCTCGATGGTCGACTTTGTAATCTATTACTACATGGGTCCCAGAAAGTTGCTCACAGGAAGCACTATAATTGGACGCAGGTAGGATGACTGTTCTGGGTGCCCGTACATCATCATGAATAACTTTTGGTGGTTTTTAGGAATACGAATTCCGCAGCCGTTTTCTAGACAGTTTATTGCTTTTAAGATTTACTGGTGTTTCAATATTTTATTATCCACATCCCTAATTAAGCACCTTGCAAATTTTGTTTTTTTTTGATAATTGTATCATTCGTAGTTGATCAAGATAGGGGATTTTGAACCAGGATTTGAATTAGTTAGACAGACAGATTTCGAATGTGTCAGAATGTCTTGCAAATGGTTTTGCATCAAACTATCAGGTCAAAGTTCGCCTTGTTTCGATTCAAAGGTAAGTAACACAGAAGCGAGGTAAATATCTTGAACTCAGGCATGCATACAATGTATTCATGATAAAATATTAATTTATTCATTTGACGTCGAAATATTGTCTCGTCAATCCGGTGAAGAGTGGAGGACGCACACCTACTATGTCCCGAAAGTGACGCGTATTTTGTATAGAAAAATGTTATACAAGTTTTCAACACATTTAAGGAATGCGATAGCGAGGTAAAAGTCTTCCAAAATATTCCGAAACATCTGCCTCTATTCCAGCTGGTGATATTTTGACCAGTTTAGGCTGGAGTGTGCGTTAATATTAAATTAGCTTTACGATGACAAAATTAGTATTAGGCATCACATAACTTTCGTTTTGTTAGTATCAGTGACTCTGTGACATTTGGTTGAGCAAGCAGTTTTAAATGGCCGACGAGAAATCAGTTTCGTTAAAAAAGTCTTTGACGGAACCGCTGACGTGGCCTAAATGGTGTCAGAGGATTGTGATGGTATGACTGAACTACAAAAATATCCACCTTTCCTAATATATCTGGGTTTGGTGTATCCAATTGAAACAAATAGGTTTAAAACACCCGCATCTGCGGAAAATACCCACAAAACAGAGCCTAGATTTTCTGCCTAGCTATCAGAGGCAGATGTTTCGGTCTGGATGTGATAATGACTAATTTGACAAAATGGCAGTGTTTATTGCAAACGACCAAATAAAAATTGCTGATGAATGTCTTAATCTGGTTTTGTGGGATTATTGTGGAGTATACAACCACATCAAGGAATATTGATGCACTCTCCCGATCTTTTTTGGAGTATCTCGTCACATATGATGTTAGGATGAGGATTTTTTTTATAAATTGGATACATTATCTGAAATTCTGTCTTGGCGTATAAAACTACGTGGGATTTTGGATATAATATACGATTTCAATTATGATTACAAGTGTTTAATTAATAACATATTAAATAACAATGAAAAAAGAAATATCAAAATATAAAGCTTTTTTTGATTTAATACATAATAATTCTCATTGTGAGAATTAAATAACCGAATACTAGACTAGAAAACATCATTTGAGCAGTATTATACAAAACAACATTTGGCATGAAGCATAGAATGTGATTAATATAATTATTTCTTTTTTAAAGTTGTTATAATAACCCAATACAAATCAATATGATTTACCTAATAACTCTCGTACTAAGAGTTTGTTATGAATTCTCTTATTAATTCCGATTATGATGTTCATTTTAAAGGTTACATAGTAACTACGATAACTAACAATAACAGCATAATGAAACAAACGTATAATAATGATATTGAAATACTGTAAATTAACGCACAGAGATGGATATAAATTGGAGAAAAGATTCCTTTGAATTCCCATTCAGGTACGACTCAAACATAGCACTTACACAACAAGCACACGTGAGACACTAAGCTTGCAATCTTAATGTTCCCAAACATTTTGAAGCAAATCTGATTCATGTGGTTGGAAACATGAAGAGCATTTGTGCTAAATAAATAAATGAATATTTTGATTTATTATGCAATTTATGAGACAGATCGTGCCAAGTAATTTGTATTCCCATTAGTACAAATATGCTTAGATAGGCGAAACAGGTTGGAGGGATATATAACGTTCTGGACCAGACAGAGCTACACATCCAATCCGAACAGGTTCCCACACGGCTTCATATATAAATGTGTTATGTTCTTCATCACATCCTGTTCGACGAAGAACCTTGGTGTAATAGTTTTTCGTTTGGCATTCCACTCGTGTATCTTTTAAGATATCCATCTGTGGCCAAGCACAAGAACAAACAGCTTCTAAAAATGAATTCGGAATCCTGTTTTCATCTACATTTAAAACGTAATACACGGGGCACAGTTCGTTGTCGGATGACTTTTGGCATATTTTGGATCCACCGGAAACATAATGGTGTGTGTCGATGTACTCGGGTGGGACGTCTGTTATGTTCTTTCCATTAATTAAATCTATTGAAAAGGCATCTCTTAATGCAGCTGGTCGAATTACTTCTTTTCTCAGTTGACACAAATTCTTTGGCATTTTACACTGAGTTCGTCGATGTGAATTTGCAATGGTCCTTCCCTCTGATAAACATTTCAGAAAATATGGCATTATGATAAGAAGAAGTGTTAAGGCTACCTGGAAGAAACATAACCATAATTAAACACATGGTTGAGTAAACAATTACCAATCAAAACCGATCTGAACCGAAAGATGTCTTTAAATACCAAATTTTACCGACATTTTGCTCGATACATATTGAGTATAATGATATGCATTCGATTAGATTTAGCGTATAATGTATGAACACTTGTTTCAATTTTTGATGTAACTGTTTTACATCATTACCACAAAGCGAATTGTTAGGTCAGTAGAAAACGACAAAAAGCAACAAAGGCAAGCCAGGCCCCTAGTCAACAGGATTTAGCATTCATGATAACAAATACTTTGTAGTGTGTGTACGGAAAATTCAATGAAATTACTTCTCTGTTATCTTACACCTATTATATTAAATAGACAGCTGTGGCAGGTTTTTTTATATATTAACTTGTAATAATACGTAATGAATATATAATGACAAAAGATCATTTACTTCCCATTGAGATAGGGAGTATCGCATCACTTTAACATTCAAATACCTACACTTTTACACACACACAAAAAAAAATTGAACCTTATAATTCATAATAAAGGGTGTAAGAAGTTTTGTGATCTAAAATAAAAAAAATGCTGTTTTGTCAAATCAATCTGATGAATTTCATTGGTAGCATATTAAAATGAAGTAAAATGCACTACGTACCTTGAAAGACATAGCTGTTCTTTTGTCGTATTGATATGGAATAAACAAGATTCCATTTCGAACTTATATATAACTATTCTGAACGTCATATCTAAATTTACCTGTGAAAATATTTTGAAAATGAAATTCTTCTTGAAGTAGTAAAGGAAGCGTTAAAAAACCGGCGATATCAGCCAATAAGATTACCAGATCTCTTGACTTCCCTTTATGTACAATGATAATATGGGGTGAATATAGAAATATATCGTGTTCACTGAATTATTACGATAAAGACGGTAAACAAAACAAATCAGAAATTTTCCTTGATCTTCTTCAATTACACATACATGCAATCGTTACTAAACAATTCAGCCAACAAGAAATTAATTTACCTTTCCGTGATTGAACCACGTGTAATAGTATATTTTTCGTCAGGCTTCTTCAAAAATACACGTTTTCCTGCCTGCTTAAAACACAAGTATTACACTATTATACTCCTATAAATATAACGTTTTTTTCTGATAGAGACGTATTGCAATATGGAGTCAAATTTCGTTGAAGTGGGCACAGATCCTAAAGCTAACCATTACAAAAACCTAAAAGCAGCTGCACTCAAAGATATGCAAGATATGGCCATTCCTCTTGCCCGTAAACAAGTCATCCTTACGCATATCTGTTTTATACAGCAGACATTTACATAATCTAATCGTAAATCGTATTCAAATGAGATGATTTACACAATATTATTAAGATATGTAATTTGTTAAAGCTCATACAAGTATCTCAAATTACCACTAATCAGATAAATGAATTGACCTTCTAATGATAAAGCTGATCAGTTACACAACCCCTGTAAGTTATGAATTTAAGTGTAATAATAATGGGACCGAATTGCGTTTTTTAACACAATATTTCGATGAACAATTATAATAAAAAATACATGTGTATAAGATAAGATGGTTATGGACCAGTTCATAACCATAAGATGTAAAGTTACTGCAGTGTAATTAGAATGTGTATTTCTATCAATTGGAGTGTTTTGGCCCACAGACAGCATTTCATTTTGAGCCCTATTACCTCAACTTGCGACCAATATGCAGCATTTTACCAGATTGACAAAACCTTGGTTTCCATTGCATGTAACATTGTCTGCAGTGCGGATATGAACAAATCATAATATCTATATTGAAAGAGTTTTGAACTGATCCAAAATCTCATAAAAAAATACAGAAGCGTTCACAGTTTTAAAGATATCTGTAATGCTTTCAGTTCACTGAATTTTATCAACGGGAATTCTAAAAAAAAGACGACAGAAAAATTTATCCTGTCTAGATTAACATACTGATATGACACGATTGGTTCGTTCAGTGATAAAAAAAATAAAAACAATGTCCTCTTCTATAGGTTTTGCCAACTGAACTCTGGGCTAATCAAAGCTGTGCACTCTGCATAGATACAAGTATTCACATTAAAATCGCAAAAAAACACATTATCAAATAATATTTTCACCCTTTGTATCTGCTGGTCATAATTATTCACCTTATCAATTCTTATCTGCTCAAGCGAGAGCCTTTCGGATTGGGTGTAAGCATCTCAAACCCATCAGATCATAGCACTGCCCTGCTGGACCTGTACATCAACTATTTGCACAACCTTATCTTTATTATGAGGAGAGGTTTGCCTTTTTAAAACAGGCAAAATTTTATTTAAAAAGTTTGTAGATCTTTTTGTGATGGCTTTGTTTAGTTGTTAGTTGTTTTTGAATTTTTGTGTTAAATACCACTTTGTGGTATGTTACTGTTAAATTATTTTATCTTTGCTTGTCATCACCACTTTAGGATGTTGTTTAATTCATTAATCTATGTTTTTTTGAATCGTTATACTTTTATCTATCGGGTAAAACCCTCATTAATACATAAATCCAAAACTAAAGGCAAAAGGTCATTGCTGCGAGCGGGCATCCCAACCGAACCCCTTTTTATTTTGAGGAGGTGGGGGTAGGATTTATCAATAGTCAGCTTTTAGGATATTCTCCTCTTCTGTGAAATTTTGATGTGTGATCGAAATTTAATGAAAATGTGAATTATATTTATGTCAATCGTGTTCAGGGATCTAATGCAAAACTTAAGAACTTTGTAAACTGAAATTCATGCCCTACCCTGTCCAGTACTGTAAAAACATACATTGTAGCAAGTAAGCTCAAACTTCCTGATCACATAAGACAGCTTGCCAGGCAAGATATTATACGCCCTTTGGTAGTTAAAATTATTTGACACAGACTTCTTTTGAACTTTTTGGGGTGATACTGAATAAGATATCAAGTTTTGTCGAAATTCGGCAAAAATCGTGCCTTTTATTGTTTACGAGCCAAAAATTGAAAAGTCATCCATGGATGATAAACACTCACACCAAGATTCGTCAAGAATTGTGCCTTCTGGGGTGTTTACAGGCTAAAAATTTACCCATTATCAAGAACTTCTTCTTTTTCTCCTTTTCAATAGGGTCAATCTTTGGTCGATAACAAACACTCACACAAAGTCAAGAATTGTGTCGACGGGCAATTGTGGACGGACGGACATGGGTGACGCCAATAAAACTTTAATCCCTGTTATACTAGCAGACGATAAGAAGTGGAGTATTTGGATTGACATGCTACAAACTATAGTATGTCATATCCTATTATTCAGGTAAATTTATGACTGATTACCTGGTCGAGAGAATTGATATTTCCCGCTATATGCTAGTAAAGTTGGGAATTTTTGATGTTTCTTTTGTTCATGTAGTCATGTGATAATTAGATGATTTGCGTGATCGATAACCTTTCGTGAACTCAAGTCATTTTTATCTCGTGTGTGGTGCTCGTTACATGATGATTAAAATAATGACAATAATATATAGAAATGAATAAGGCCATTTAGTTTCTAATAATGGACAGAAAACTCAAAATAAGTATAACAAGAATTCACACATAATATCTTACATAAGTAAGTTTTTAGGATGTTCACCTCTTCTGTGAAATTTTGATGTGTGATCGTCAATCGTGTTCAGGGATCTTATGCAACACTTAAGAACTTTGTAAACTGAAATTCATGCTTTACCCTGTCCAGTACCGTAAAAACATACATCGTAGCAAAGTAAGCTCACACTTCCTGATCACATAAGGCAGCTTGTCCGGCAAGATAATATAAGCCCATTGGTAGCTTTATATTAAATAAAAATTATTTGGCAGAACAGTCACAAGTATGAAATATGCAACCTTTAGTCACACACTTCTTTTGAACTTTTTGGGGTGATATCGAGTTTTGTCGAAATTTGGCAAGAATCGTGCCTTTAGTGTTTACGAATTAAATTAATTTAGATCAATTTAAATGCTAATCCTATTGGTGAGGCAAGGAGTTAACAGATTAAGGAAATTTTATGAAATAAAAAAATGTGCGAAAGAGCTTGATAAAATGCGGAGTACACTAATTCTTGAAAACCGTTGATAGATGTACAGAGCAAAACTGACTATAGATCTGCCGAGGCTTGTAGTAAATATAATAAGGTTTTTATGTGTTTAAAATGCAATCCGCTTCGCATGATATGAAAAAATCCAGTTATAGCAAAGCTTAAGGTTTTAAATTATGTTATGTCTCGTAGAATATGGAATTTGAGCTCAAAGATGGGAACATTTATAAAATCACTGGCGTTAATTATCTCTTTATGGTCATTTTTATATCGTATATTGTTGTCACCCATGTCCGTCTATCGGTCCTTTCCACAACTGCTCGTAAAAACTCTTAAAGGCACAATTCTTGACGGATGTATGTGAAACTTGGTATGAGTGTTAGTAATCACCCAAGGATGAACTCTATTGAAAATCAGAAAAATCAAAATATAAATAGTATGAGTTATTGACCTCGTTTTTGAAAACGTGTTTACTATCACCCAAGGATGAACTCTATTGAAAATCAGAGAAAGCGAAATGTATTTAGTATGAGTTATTGCTCTTGTTCTTGAAATTTCGTTAAATAAACACTCAAGAAGGCACAATTCTTGACAGATTTTGACGAAACTTGCCGTGAGTGTTTGTTATCACCGATGGATTAACCGTATCAAATATCGAAAACTGTTTTATAAGCGTAATTGAACTTGTTCTTTGAAAACGCTTTCAATTTTTAGCTCATAAACACTAAAACTGCTTCCAAAATTCTGCCATTTGTTTTTATACCAATTTAATTAATGTACTTGTATATTTTGTTGAAATTTTTGTACATTCTAAATTTGCGTTGAAATATATTTTTTTAACTTAGTTTCTTTTTAAAATTTATTATGTAAATATATTGTAAATGATTATTTTGTCTTTTGGTTACTTTTATTTCAGGTCTGTCTTATGACTTTTGATTGTTGTCATCCATCTAATAATTGTTTATTTGTGTTTTTGTTTGTATTGTCAATGATAGGCAGAATGTAATACAGGCCTATCGGAGGGTACTCAGTATCTTATCTTGATGCTTATCGATATTGTATGACCTATTTTTTTACCCTTTTATAATACAGATATTATCATTATAAAAGAACGATTCTTTGACAAACTTGGTTATATTATTCAGTATCGCCCCAAAAAGTAAAAAAGAAAGTTGAATATTGTATACAGGTAATTGTTACTGTACTGCCAAAGATTTCTATTCAAAATCCACGCTGCCAGTGGGTCTATATTACCTTGCCTTGCAAACTATCTTTCAATATTCTAGCAGATTATTTTGATAAATTGCGACGTGACGTTTGTAGGAAAACCATTAAGAAATGCAGGCAATTAAACACTCGGATTTTGAAACCGGCTGGTTGCGTCAATTAGGAAATAATATATCATCATAAAATAGTGGGATTTGGTCTGTTACATTATCACAATACTCAGAATGTGTGTTTTTTTTTTCATTTTGAATGTAGTAAATTAAATTAAGTTTATGTCATGCCTTTTCTATCGTATCGCTAACAAAATATAAACATAAACACTGCATCGTCAGTCAGGGTTTCGTAACACTTCCTAACGT